AGGCTAAACTAATCAACTCAGCTAACACAAACTGAAGATCACAGTACGAACTTCACCATACACACATGCACATGTTGAGGGAAAATAAGATCCATATTTTGGGGAAATCCCCCAGAGTTTGGCGAAACATCACTGCATTTCTACTGTATATATCCAATAATATTCTTCAACATCAAATACTTGCAATATGCTGTGGACATGGATATCAAACCATAGCAACCAGAGTATTTCCGATGGAAACAATCCAGTGCATAAGTGTCCTCAAGCGCCACCAGCTGGACACTTAGAGAAAGCACACAGCTTTGGTGGACACTTGTTTATTTAGTATTTATATTTGGGTGTATACTGTTTAGTATATTAATCAGACTATTGTGATCAGAGAGCCAGGGCAGACGCCGGGTTGCCAGATCCTCATAACAAAACCATTCAAACAACCCAATACCTAAACTCAAAATCTGCAATTCCCATACTCAACAACAGATATGCTACATCACTGAATGCACTGTACATTTCTCTCTCTTTTAATCTCTGTATAATGGCAATGGGGAACATTCGGTTTTCACTAATGTACGCATTAAACATGTTTGTTTTAAAAAACAGTCACTCTGGAACTGAAACAATCCCCCAAATAAATCACTATTGCTGTGGTGTTCTTATACAGTGAATAGGGCTGCCATCTGTTATGGTCACCAATGTCTAGCAGTTGCAGATTGCTGAAGAACTACAGATCCCATCATGCACCTCACACACACACCAGTTCCAGTTCTCTGATTGCACACACACAGTTGGAAGCTCATCATAGACTAATTACCTGCACTATGTATACCTCTCAGTTTAACACACACACTCACACACACACTTGGCTGTGTGTTGGTCTGTGTTGCGTTCATCACGGGTGTGTTTATTCTGTGTTTGATGTGAGATGTTGCTGTGCAGATTGTAAAAGTCCTTCGTCAGTCCGTCATCACAGTGCTTCAGTATTCTTCTTCTTCTTCTGTTGTTATTCCCTCCAGAACTGTGTTGAGCATCTGTCTGCGCTCAGTTCACTGCAGCGTTTGGTCTTGGTGTTCTGACTCGTTTATTAGAGGAGAGCAAACAGCCCAGTGGAGAATCCCAGCAGGTCAGCAGACTCCATTCCTCTCAGTGATGCTGGAGCTGATGCTCTACTGTGCAGCGCTGATGGACACGCTGCTCATTCAGCAGATATTACAGCTTCACACATTAATCTGATTCTCATATTCAGAAGTGAACGCAGCTGGTGATGTGTGAATGTGTTTCCATCTGTTGTTGCATCATCATCATCATCAGTTCTCCTGCTTGTCTCTCCTTCAGCCCACCCATCTGCATGTTCTGACCTTGCATTCAGCATGAATAAAGGAGGATTTGGGTCTGATCTCCTGAGAGAGTGCTGGAAATCCCGGACAGGATCTGATGTTCTGTTGTTGAAGGGTGAGGTTCTGCACCGCTGCGGTATGAAGACCACACAACCAGAGGAACACGACTGCTGAACACACACTAAAGAAACATCACAACATGCTGCATTACTCAGAGTTTGTCCTGTTCCTAACCAAATATCTCCAAACTCTTAGGCTGCCTCCAGAAACAGCTTCTGCAGACGTCATGTGATGATCTGAATCTGTATAGTATGTTTGCGTCAGATGGACGCGAGTCATGTCCAACACACATGTTCTGCTTATCTGGACGCCGCTTCATAGTGTCAGATGCGGCTTTACTTTCCAGCAATGCACTCCTGCTCTTTGTTCAAACTACTCAAATGAGCTGACGCTACACAGTTCTTGATTATTATTTAAACTGCTTTATGTTCAATCTACATACTTTTGTAAAGACTGAGTTAACCTAATTCCTTTATGCTGTGATGTCAATGCTGTCCATCAGGGGGAGCCACAGTACAGGCACACACATGCTCAGTAATTCATATGTTGTGGTGGCAGGGTGTCTCAGCGGGTGTGTATGGGTGTTTCCCAGTGTTGGAAGGGCATCCGCTGTGTAAAACATATGCTGGAATAGTTGGCGGTTCATTCCGCTGTGGTGATCCCTGATGAATAAAGGGACTAAGCCGAAGGAAAATCAATAAATTAATAATTCATAGGCTGTAAATGTTGCATAGAGAACAACTGAGTACATCACTAATCATCATACATATCATTATATATCAGCATCACTTCACCAAATAAATCTGAGATCTGTCATTTCTGTTCAATTTTACAAAACAGACATAATTTATGTCAAAAAGACAGCGTGTCCTAAATAAATAAATAAATAAATAAATAAATAAATAAATAAATGAATGAATTAATGAATTAATGAATAAATGAATAAATAAATAAATAAATAAATAAATGAATGAATTAATGAATAAATGAATAAATGAATAAATAAATAAATAAATAAATAAATAAATAAATAAATAAATAAATAAATAAATGAATGAATTAATGAATAAATGAATAAATAAATAAATAAATAAATAAATAAATGAATGAATTAATGAATAAATGAATAAATAAATAAATAAATAAATAAATAAATAAATCAGATGTACAATCTTGAATAAGGCGCAAAACAGGAGGCATTAAATAACCAAACAGTTCAGACAGTAAAGTAAATGTTTCTGTAATTGTCAGAGTGTTCATTCATATTTCAGTATTACTGCAGTCATGTTGTATCTGCAGTTCAGCGTTATCTCTCACAACCAAACCATATATCTACAAAACAAGCTGTAAGCAAAGATCTGTGCGCATTAAATATTAATATAACCCTGCATATTCATTAGTCATTAAATAAAGACATGTTTAGACTTTTTTCTTAACTAATCATCTACTCTCTCCTCAGTCTCCATGGTAAATGATATACTGAAAGCAGCACTGTTATATTAAATATATACTGTGTTTTGGCAGGTAAATGAATGTAGATTGAAACAGTTTAATGGTTTCTTCCACTAGAGGGCCTCGAGGATCCTCTGCAGATGCAGAACTGAGGGAAACTAGTAGACAGTCACAAATAAAAGAGATTATTTACAGTTTATTGACATGCAGAACATTAATAGTGGACATTTATGACTATAGAAAACCCTTCTCTCATGTTCTGACAACCTTCAACACTAGAAAGTAAGAAAGACGTCATTTTATGCGCAGTTTAGTAGCCTGATGTTGATTTCCAGCAGATTCCATCAATAAAGTCTGGGTTTTGTTTCACTATAGTTCCTAATGTATGTGAATGCAGTGAATGGGATTCAAATCAAGCATGTTTTCCAACATAACCTAGAGGGATAGTTCACACGTATTTACTGTGAATTTGCCTGCTTTACTGTAATAGAGCATTTCAGATGACGCTGTTTTGTACTCATCGTATTCAAAATAAAGAGCCAGTGTGAATTACTATAGTTTTGTGACGTTTAAGCACATGTTTTATTGACTTGTCATTAATGAAATTCAGTGTGTGTGTGTGTGTGTGTGTGTGTGGATTGCCTGCAGAGCGAGTGTTTCAGAATAACACAAGCATGCCTCATCTCTTCAACAAGCGGTTTATTCTGAACGAGTGAGCACATGTGGTGATGTACAGCACCAAACACTGTCACACATGTCTTATTCAGTGACTGAGAGACAGAAGATACACACAAACAGCACAATCTCACGGTCAGATGGAGAACAGAGCCACTGAGAGTCAAAAAACACCTGTCATGTGTGTTCCTCCAGTTCTTCTCCAGTGTAGAGTGTGTGTCAGCAGCTGAACACAGGAGTTCTGGAGAACTGAAGCGCTGTCAGTCCAGTGTTCAGCTGAAGCTCAGTTCAGTTCAGTTCAGTTCAGCTCAGTTCAGTTCTGTTCAGTTCAGTTCAGCTCAGTTCAGTTCAGCTCAGTTCAGTTCAGTTCAGTTCAGTTCAGCTCAGCTCAGCTCAGCTCAGTTCAGTTCAGCTCAGCTCAGTTCAGTTCAGCTCAGTTCAGTTCAGTTCAGTTCAGCTCAGCTCAGCTCAGCTCAGCTCAGTTCAGTTCAGCTCAGTTCAGTTCAGCTCAGTTCAGTTCAGCTCAGTTCAGTTCAGTTCAGCTCAGTTCAGTTCAGTTCAGTTCAGTGTGGTTTAAATCTTCACTGCTGAAAGTCCAAACACTGAAGAGCAGATCATTCATGCTCAGCTCCACAAGACCCAAACCATCATGACCTTTATATTGTAGATGCATTATTTCTGAGACTGATCTGGCTGCATATAAACACTCATATTTGCTTACATCATTGCATATTTCTGCTAAATTAACTGCCTAGATGTCCATTAACCTCCTTATCTCTCAGCTACTTGCCACAAAACTAAAGAATAAGACATTTGACATTCATCTGAGCTGGAGTCAAAGCAAAGCTGTCTGGCTGTTCTGTCCTGTTCTCTTTACATTACAGGACTCTGTAAGTCAGGGGTGTCCAAACTCGGTCCTGGAGGGCCGCTGTCCTGCATATTTAGCTCCAACTCCAATTTAACACATCTGGACCAGCTTATCAAGCTCTAGGCATGCTAGAAACTTCCAGACAGGTGTGTTAAAGGAAGTTGGAGCCAAACAGCAGGACACCGGCCCAGTCCAGGACCCAGTTTGGACACAACATTCATTCATTTTCCTTCACCTTAGTCCCTTTTATTCATCAGGGGTATCCACAGCGGAATGAACCGCCAACTATTCCAGCACATGTTTTACATAGCAGATGCCCTTCCTGCTGCAACCCAGTACTGGGAAACACCCATACACACTCATTCACATACACACTCATACACTATGGCCAGTGTAGTTGATCAGTTCCCCTATAGCGCATGTGTTTGGACTGTAACTGGAGCACCCGGAGGAAACTCACACCAACACATGGGCGACCATGCAAACTCCACACAGAAACACCAACTGACCCAGCCGAGACTCAAACCAGAGACTTGAGTGCTGTGAGGAGTTTTCTTTTCTATTTCCACAACTTAACATTGTTAAATTAAGTACTCTTGTGTGTGTGTGTGTGTGTGTGTGTGTGTGTGTGTGTGTGCGTGTGTGTGTGTTCAGATGGTAACACTAGTGAAGTCTTGAACTTCTCAGATTCAGTAAAGTATTTTGCTCAATGATGTCCTTGAGGAGTCTTGAGGGTCAGGGAGATGTCCATTCTTCCTCCAGATGTCCTGCAGTCAGTCAGCATCTGCGGGGTGTCCAGCACACATGTCCTGAGTGACTGGCTCTGCTCATCACAGGCTGGTCTGCAGGTCTCCGTTGATCACTGTGTGTTGGGTCTCCATCGGATCGTTTAGAATCTGTGGCCGGTCCAGTCTGCTGTTGGAGCGGGCCGCGTCGCTCAGCGCCTCTTTCTTGAAGCACAGAACATTCTGGAAGCTCTTTCGGAAGTTCTCCGACAGGAAGGCGTATAATATGGGGTTAGCGCAGCTGTTGGCGTATCCCAGCACCACCACGAACGCAAACACGCTGCGCAGAAACGGCGTATCGCTGATCGTGCCCGTAACCGAGGTCATGTTGAAGATGTAGAAGGGCAGCCAGCAGAAGACAAACACCAGCACCACCACCGACACCAGCCGCGTCACCTTCTTCTCTGAATACCTGCGCTTGCTGGAGCTCACCTTGATCCCCGAGGACTTGACCTTGATGATGATCAGCAGATAGCACAGGCAGATGACCATCAGCGGGAGGAAGAACCCCAGGAGGAAGGTGTAGATCATGAAGGCGGTTTGGTAGGCTCCCTGCGGATCCGGCCACACGATACTGCAGAAGCACCCTTCAGCTTTAGTGATCAGCCCGCTGTAGAACACTACCGGGAGGATGACCAGTAGGGACACCACCCACACCGCTACGTTGGTGGCCTTCGCCACTTGTGGCTTCCTCCATTTGATCGACTTCATGGGGTGCACCACAGCGAGGTATCGATCAATGCTCATCACCATCAGGCAGAAGATACTGGTGAACTGGTTCAGGGAGTCTATGGTGATGACCACGTGACACATCGTCGCCCCAAACGGCCAGTGCACCATCGCCAGCTGGATCGCAATGAAGGGCAAGCTGAGCATGAACAGAATGTCCGCCACCGCCAGGTTCAGGATGTAGATATTGGTGACCGTCTTCATCTTAGCGTAGCGCAGGATCACGTAAATAACCAGAGCGTTTCCGCACAGCCCGACCACACACACCAGGAAATACATGACGGTGACCACCGCCGTGTTAGTGTTGGTCAGGTGCTGCTCGGGCTCGTTGCGCTGGGTTTCCTCCTCAGATATGTTCAGCAGGCCGTCGTACAGGGAATATCCAGACAGGTTAGTGGAGTAGTAACTAGGAGAGAACCAATATGTCCAGGAATCCATCGCGTGTTTCCCTCAGATGCCCTTATAATCCAGCTGAAACAGGACGAAGAGTATACAATCAGTCCAACACTAATATAGGGGATCCAGACAGGAGAACACAGGGGTTATTTACAGGAGGTCAACAGCTCTCACTCTGAGAATAGATTAACGGCCATATGAGTCTCGAATTAACGCTGATAACAGCCCGGCAGAAATATATAGACATAAATCAGAGCCAAAACTCCAGTACAGACATGACACACTGACTTCAGCCTTTATTACCGCCTGAGCCGGCTATTAGAGTCTCTCCAGGACGCAAACATAAGCTGGTTATTCCATTCCTGACGCATTATTATGAAGATCATTCAGATATGTGTGTCATCGTCGGCACAATAGCCCAGTGGTTAGTGCGCCGACATATGGTGCAATAGCACGTCAGGGTATAGTGAGTTTGAATCCCGGCTCGACCACATTTCCCTACCCTACCCCCCCTCTCCCACACCACTTCCTGTCTCAATACTGTCCTATGTAATAATAAAGGCAAAAGGGCCAAAAAAAAAAAAAAAAATATATATATATATATATATATATAAATATATATATATATATATATATATATATATATATATATATATATATATATATATATATGTATATGTGTGTGTGTGTGTGTCATTAATACGGTTTTCACCAGTGGCGCAACAAGGGGGTATGCAGTATATGCGGTGCATAGGGGTGCCACACATGGGGGGGCGCCGTTGTGCCAAAACTATTTCTAAAATTATCCTTATTAAAAGTTTCAAATAATAAAAATAAATAAATATGTTTTGTTAAAAAACATTCTTTTGCATTTTAAATGAATATAATATTGTTATTGTTTAATTCAAAATCATTTAACACAATAACATGCAGTCCCACAGCCTAGTGTTCATGTAGATGTAACTGTTTAGACTTGCTTTTATTTTTATCAAAATAAACTGTCAAATCATACATAATGTCAAAAGTTATAAGATTAATCTGAAAATTTGTCTTCATTTATTATTAATTAATTAATATAAAATAAGAGGGATCACACAAAATTTGAACCCGCATACCCCTCAGTAAATGTGTAGTTGCGCCCCTGGTTTTCACTTGTCTTTGCCTTATTTGTACCCATCAGGTTATCTGGACTCTGCTGGAATAATCAAGATAAATAAATGTCATCCTTACCTTTGTGTAGATGTGCATCGTACAGTGCACCGGGATCCTGCTCAGAGACCACTACACACCATCCATCATCAACACATGCTCAGATCTGACAGTGAAGAGAGAGAGAGAGAGAGACTCAACATTTACAGTGAATGCTTATGAAAGTAATCAGACAAGAACCGACGCTGTTCAGTAGTTTTAGGATAACGTTAGTTAGAGCAGATGATCTGTGGACTACTGTATATTTGTAAGAAGCTAACTGAGTTACTTCTGTTCCAATATAATATACTTAAAATGAGTGAAGCATGACTCCTATAGGGGTGAAACCCACAGAATAAACTGCAGAACCTGCTGCTCTGACAGAGTATTGTGCTGTTTCTAGTCCAAATATCAAGAAGCATTTCTAGAGCAGAGTAAAACACATGTTCAGACACAATGAGAAGAGTTTCTCCTTACACAAGCTGAATGATCCAGCGGGAGAGAAATGATGGAGCTCTTCCTGCTGATGCATTACTCTGCTCACTCCATTATTCTGCTTGATTTGAGGATATTGAGATGAGATGTTGAGCTCAGGATCTGCTTTTCGTGCTGGTTCTGCTCTGTTTTCCTCTATTCAGCGCTGCAGTGTTTTCAGGTCAGTGATGCGGCTTTTACAGCAGCCGTGATGCTCAATATAATATTACACAGTCCACTGCTGGATCTTTGATTTTTCCCCTGATTGATGAGCTTATGTAATATTTGTCCTCTGATAGTACTGCTGTGCTCAGCAAGCCAATCATTAGTGCACAGAATAACCTCTGTCACGCATCTACACTAGCTGACTAAAGTCCTGTGGAGGATCTCAGCTGTGAGAGCAGCAGATCATAACTGGACTTCCAGATGATCATGTGGAGAAGATGGATCATCTGCATCCTGATCATCACCAATACTGCAGAAGACCTACTGGAACCAGCATGGACACAAGATTCCCACAGAAATCAGTCAAGTTTGGTGAAGGAGACATCATGGTTTGGGGTCATTCAGTATCTGCAACATCAACAGCCTGAGGTATCAAGACATCTGTGCTGCCCATTACATTACAACCCACAGGAGAGGGACAATTCTCCAGCAGGATAGCGCTCCTGCTCATACTTCAGCCTCCACATCAAAGCTCAAGCTGCTCCAGGATTGGCCAGCCCAGTCACCAGACATCAACATTATTGAGCTGATGAAGGAGGAGGTGTTGAAGATGAACATAGAGATGAACTCTGGGAGTCCTGCTGAAGGCTTTCTTCTTCATTCCAGATGCCAAATGACCCAGCCAGGACTCAAACCAGTGACCTTCTTGCTGTGAGGCGATCATGCTCCCCACTGCACCACTGTGCTGGCCATGTTCAACACAATCTCATAGTGTTTGATTATTAAAACACACACAGCTGATTGAGTATGTTAAAGCAGGATGTTCACGTTCCTCATGAAGCCGCTCTGCTGTGTTGTTCTGGTTTGTGGCTGGGAATGTGACGCTTCTGTGCTGGTGTAAAGCTGCCCTCTGCTGGCGCACACTGAATATGAGTGCAAGAACCAGCTCAGTTTTGTTGAAATAATGGAATTTAAAGCTGCCATGATGCTAATAAAATGCTGCAAAAACCATATTCTCAATCAATAAATATGGTGATATATGCGATTAATATTTGCAGAGCGGCCTGTAGCAGAATATTATACAAAAATAATAATATTTAAAATAAAAATGAGTTAAAATACTGCTTTTATTATATATCACATCATATATACATCATAAAGATCGATAATATCACCTTACTCATTTTATAAACTGTATTATTAATGTTTTGATTAAGATATCAGGGCAATTATTTACCATTGCTATTTATTCTGAATAGCTAAACGGGTGTTTCAGTTCACTGCATCTGGAATCCACGTGTTAGACTATTTTCTGTCATTGCATTAAGTATAATTGTACTCAAAACATCCGCTGTCCTGTGATTTCTAGCTATACATTGAGAAATTCAGCACAATGCTAAGTGTTGTAGGCTGCAAATATCCTCATATTATGAAAATACTGCACTTGTGGCATGATCTGCAGCAGTTTAAATCTGTTTATCCAACAGTATCTGGATGCAGCCTTTATGATGCAAGCTGAGACTGCATCACTCAGCGATGCAATGTCAGACACAATGCAGTCAAATGGAGCGAGTGACGTCACTGTGAGGGGTGGGGCTAGGTGAGCCCATTAAAAAGCATTGGATGCAGCCCAGATTGCACTGCACCAGGTCTGCAGCCAGACCCCTCCTCACCTAAATGATCAATGAATGACTATTTATGCTCGCAAATAAAATTAATCAAACAATTAATCGCTAAGTCAGTCCTCAATATGCACATTATGACTAAAATAGTTATTTATTCATTTTCTTTTCAGCTTAGTCTCTTTATTAATCAGCGTTCGCCACAGCGGAATGAACCACCAACTTATCCAGCACATGTTTTAAACAGCGGATGTTCTTCCAGCTGCATCCCAGGACCTTAAAAACACCCATACACACTCATTCACAGCACTCTCTGGTTGAGTCTCGGCTGGGTCAGTTGGTGTTTCTGTGTGGAGTTTGCATGTTCTCCTCCGTATGCTCCGGTTTCAGTCCAAACACATGCGCTATAGGAGAACTGATCAACTACATTGGCTGTAGTGTAGGTGTGTGAATGAGTGTGTATGGGTGTTTCCCAGTGTTGGAATGGCATTCGCTGTGTAAAACATATGCTGGAATAGTTGTCGGTTCATTCTGCTGTGGCAACCCTTGATTAATAAAGGGACTAAGCTGAAGGAGAAGGGATGAATGTTCAGACAGAGGCGTGTTGTTCACTCATCAGGGTGTGAGCAGATGCTGGTTCGCCAGCGTGATTATTGCACCGCTGCGCTTTAGGCTGGCCACTGTTAAAGGCCACTCTGAAGGGTGCAGTTCCCCTTTCAGGAACTCTACGCTAGTCAAGACGAGATGCTAAAGAGTGTCCTCATAGCGATCTTCAGCAGTCGTCCTCTGATTGGTCTACATGTAGAGGATGTCTGTGTGTGGAGTGTGCAGCGATCTTCATCAGCTCGCCTGAAACTAGTGTGACCGAGATCAATCTGTGCTGCACTGTGTGTTATGGTGAAGATGAGTCTGTGCACATTTCCCCAGAATATGAGTCAGAATCAGATCCGTCAGCAGAAATCATCACATCTGCTGACACACAGAGGACAGATGAGGTCAAATGAAGACCCAGAATCAACCCAGAGTGGAGGAAAACCACCCAACAGGACATGAGGAGTAAACCACCAAACAAACCTCCAATGCAGACACTGAACTGAACTGAAGGTGAAGTAATAGAGCTCTCTCTCTCTCTCTCTCCCTGTGTGTGTGTGTGTGTGTGTGTGTGTGCGTGTGTGTGCTTTCCTTCCGTGACTAACCGTCATTAATCTCCTCTGGAGGGGCAGGATCTTGACTGTATGCCAGGGAGAACTCTGGGAAAGCCAAGAGAAGTGTCCAACAACAGAGCCGCTTTTCAGGTTTGAAGATGAAGAACGCTCACACACACACGCACACACACACACGCACATACACACACACACACACACACACACACACACACACACGCACGCACACACACACACACACACACATACACACACACACACACACACACACGCACACACACACACACACACACACACACACACACGCACACACACACACACACGCACACACACACACACATGCACACACACACACACACACACACACACACACACACACACACACACACACACACACACACACACACACACACACACACGCACACACACACACACACACACACACGCACACACACACACACACACACACATACACACACACACACACACACACACACACGCACACACATACACACACACACATGCGCACACACACATTAACACTGTCTACAGTACAGGAGGATGACCTGCAGCGACTCTACACCGCTCTCTGGTGTTCAGCGTATGGTCTGCCTGGTGAAGGGATGTGTCTACACGACTGGACAAGTCACAATTAAAGGGCCAGTGCACTGACAAAACCTTCATGAGGGTATTTCTCCTGTTGGACACTAAAGAAGATGTTTTGGAGAATGCTGAAAACCGGTAACCATTGACTTCCATAGCAGGACAAACAAATATTTTGGAAGTCAGTGGTTCTCGGTTTTCAGCATTCTTCAAAGCATCTTCTTTAGTGCTCAACAGGAGAAAGACACTCATGAAGGTTAATAAGCACCTGAGGGAGAGTAAAGAGTGAGTAAATGCTGATTTTGGGGTGAACTCTCACTTTAACATTCATTCTAGAGTTCACCTCCGCTGATGAGTGACTATAAAGTGTGTTTGTACCAGGAGATAACCCTGAGCTCATAAGATCCTCGAGCCCGGGGCTCCCTCCTGTTTGCAGGGTGAGAGGGGAGTTTGAGCTCAGGTAGATCTCGATGACTCCCCCGGCCTATTTGTCGCTGAGTGACGGTTATGGATGGCTGAGGAGACGTGCACTCGCTGGCTGAGAGCTTGACTATGGTAAAAGTTTTGAGTGCTCAATTTTCTTAGGGTGTGTGTTATTTGGACTGTGGAGAACCCTCGGAAAACCCACGCGAACACAGGGAGAACATGCCAACTCCACATTGAAATGTCATCTGGTTTAGTAGGGACTTAAAGGCAACAGTGCTAACCCCTGGGCCGCCGTGCCGCCTGTTTAAATAGGAGTAAAGCAGGACGATCTTCAAGATGAAGACACTGAGATGAGAAAACTCTGGTCATTCATAGTGAGTGAGGAATCATCTGATTGGATGATCGATCACGAGCTGATGCTGGAACAGCAGAGATCAATCATAAGCATGTGATCCTCTGGAAATTAGTGTATAAATAAACTTCACCTAAAGCCGGTGTGAGACATGGAGTTCTCCTCACGTCATGCGCAGATACACTCTCATCTTATACAATACAAACAGACTCAATCAGTCATTCTCCTTCAGCTTAGTCCCCTAAATAATCAGGGGTCGCCACAGCGGAATGAACCGACAACTATTCCAGCATATGTTTTTCTTGCAGCTGCAACCCATCTCTGGGAA